GGGGACGAAAAGGCAGAAAATGTAAGGTAGAAACTGTCGAAAGAAAAATGCAAGCCATAAGGTGAAAAAAAATGCGGAAGTGAAAACACGAGGTACGCAAATTTCTGAAAACGTCTTTGTTGTCCTAACTCCAGTCAAAGGAATCACCCCCATTTCCCACAGCCCTCCTTTTTTAGGCCACATGAGGCCACTTCTTAATCTTCGATTCGTATACACCCCCCTATGAGACTACATAAGCCCCTACCTGCTCTATCATGTGTGTGACGCCCTAAGCCCCCAATGATTTATGTGAGGTCCTCACCCCCCCGATCATTTATGTGAGGCCCTACCCCCTCAATCAGTTATGTGAGGCCCTACCCCCTCAATCATTTATGTGAGGCCTTACCCCCTCAATCAGTTATGTTCACTGCCAGTTGAAGGAAGGCAGGGGGTGAGTCCCATCTCCATGAGCACTTCAGCCACTAGGCGCCAACCCCGCAGGCTCCCGTCGACAGTGTCTAGCAACCCAACCCGTGGTCTATAACAAATGGCAACCCTGGGTTTATAACCAGACCCCGTCCTAACCTAGACAGGCTATCGGCATGCTACCCGTTTGATGCTGTCACGGACCCTCTACATGGGATAGTACCCTAGTCCCCCCTCTCAGTGCTACTTCGGTCCTTTTGTTTTTCCTCATTATTCTCACTCCTTTCAGTGATGCTATTGGTCACACTCTTAAGTGATACTCCAATTTTTCTTTATGCCGTTCATTCCCAACCTTTCAACAACAATGCTATCCATGATAAGATCAGGAATCAGGAATCCTCCCACTGCAGCAACTGTTATGGTAGAGAGAGAGAGAGAGAGAGAGAGAGAGAGAGAGAGAGAGAGGCCAGCAACATTATGCACAAAATAGTATGCTATTTTTCATTCTTTATGTTCTAAGCAAAACTAGAGAACAGAGGGGACCAACCACACACACTGCTCCTCTGACAGAAGGAAAAGAGAGAGAGAGAGAGAGAGAGAGAGAGAGAGAGAGAGAGAGAGAGAGAGAGAGAGAGAGAGAGAGAGACTCACCCTCCAGAGGTGTCCTCCACCACCTGTAGCGAAGAGGGAGATGACAAATGGACGATGATGATGCATGAAGCAGAAAATTTCAGGTACGCAGCAAACAGCCCAAAACAGGGGGGGACCACAAACAGTCGAAATAGATGTGCTTGTCAGTACCTCAGAGTCTCAGACGCAATCGGCTTTCCTTCGGCAGAGATAGAGGGGAAGGAATAATTACTACTGAGTGTAAGGGCCTTGTAGGCCAAATGCACAAAAGACAAAAATTACGGCGGTGCATCTTTCCATATTCTAGCGGAAGATTCACTCTCATTTTGCACAGATGCACAAAAAGCAAAAATCATGGCCGTGTATCTTTCCCTATTCTAGCGGAAGATTCACTCTCATTTGCACATTTGGTGAGCAGTGGGGCGAGGCCCTAAATCTCGGACATGCGAGTATGCATACGGAGATTCGGAGGAATAACAAGCCTATTATCTGTGGGCCTCGCCACACCACTGTCGAAGCAAAAAAACAACACCAGTGTATGTACCCGCGAAGAGCGGCAAGATGCGTCCGTTACTATGAATAGTAATGGATGCATCTCTCCATTTTCAGGACGCAGATTCACTCGTGCATTTTCCGATTCGACAGTGGTGTGGCGAGGCCCTGTATGTATCCACACTCACATGTCATACACACACACACAGACGGACACAGAGAGAGAGAGAGAGAGAGAGAGAGAGAGAGAGAGAGAGAGAGAGAGAGAGAGAGAGAGAGAGAGAGAGAGAGAGAGAGAGAGCAGCATTAGAATAATGATAAAGCAGAGGCCAAAATGCTTTTTTCGTACACGCTTCCAATCTTTTTTTTTTTGGGGGGGGGAAAAGGGCAATCATTTCAGTTTTCCGCACGTATTGCACTCAGGGCATACTCAGGGCGTACTCACACAAGCACTATCTTGAATGTATCTGACCACAATACCGGCCGGACCTGGATCGATCTGGCCGCAATTCCGTCCAGAAATACTGTAAGTAAAAAAGTCCTAGTGTGAGTACGCCCTCACACTAGGACTTTTTACTTATTTCAGGACGGAATTGCAGCCACATGCATCCAGGCGCGGCCGTAAATACGGTCAGATACATTTAAGATAATGCTAGCGTGAGTACGCCCTCGGGGAAGAAGAACAAGAAGGAGAAGAGTCTGACCAGAATGCTGATAATAGATTACTTCATTTCACTTTTTTTACTTTTGATTTTTTAAATACTGTTTCATTTATTTTTTTTCTTTGTTAAAAAAAAAAAAACAGGTCCTTATTGGCCTGGGTTCTTTCAATTGGGGCTATCCCATGATTTTTGTCATATCGTTTGCCTATCATCACGTCCTTGTAGAGCTGTGCTTTTTTCTTTTTCTTTTTTTTTCTCCTTTTTTTTTTCTTTTTTTTTCTTTTTTTTTATGTGGCCCGATGGACCACGGATCAGATATTAAACTGATCAGAACAGATACTACACTTGATCTTAGCCAAAAGGCCGAGAATTCTTCGGGTTCCCTTTTCGCTTTCTTTGGGATTTCAAATTTTTCCTTTTCTCCCAACAGACAAATCATGCATGTCCATGCATCTCCATTCAGTTCCTGACCCAAAAAAAAAAAAAAAAAAAAAAAAGTTCCTGACAAACTGGTAGCACATACAATCGATCCATGTCGAGTAATAATTAATTAGATATCAAGTAAAAAAAAACAAAAAAAGTATTATCAACTCGTAGGGGGCCCATTCTGGTCCTTTCTGGAAGGGTGAAAAGGAAAGGGGGAGGGGGTGAGTGGGTGGGCAGCAGCAGGAGAAAGGAGGGGGGTTGGGGGTTTATTGTCAATAAAGTCCCAACTCGTAAGGGGTGCCATTCTCATTCCTTTCTGGAAGGGGGAAAGGGCTTTTCCGGGGGCCGGGGGGGAGGGGCGGGGGTGAGGGGGGCAAAACAACCATGATTCACTGTTTCGTCTGCACACATCAATCAGGTCACCGCAGAGAAAAAAAAAAAAAAAAAAAAGAGAGAAAAAAAAAGGAAAAAAAAAAGGGTCCCCATAAACGTATGTGCCTCATCTAACATCATTTTGTGTCACAATGTCACATAGCATGGGAGAGACATGTGAGATCCCACATGTCAGTTTCTCACAGCCCGGTAAACCGTAGTAGGCAGAGAGGGAGGGGAGGGAGGGGAGGGAGAAGAGGACAACAAACGAGGGGCTGAGACAAACTGTTTCGTCGGAGTTATATATTGTCACATGAATATCAGAGCGCAAATGCGAAAAAAAAGAAAAACAGGAAAAAATGAATTCCGTTTTTTATCTTCTTCCTTATAACTCCCCCTGTTCAGAACCTCTTGCGTACAAGGCCGCCCACGTGGATGTAGGTTGAGCGGCGGCTGGCCCCACCCCCGTGTGTCATATCGACCCACTTGCACACAGCCAAAAGGCAAAGAGGCAAAGAAGAGAGGAAGGGAACAGCCAATGTCCCACATGCAAGCACCGCCCCTGCCCACAGGCCAAATGACGGGATATATATTGTCACACTGTGAATCAGAGCGCAGAAGCGAAAAAAGGGAAAAGAAAAAAAGGAAAAGGAAAA